AGAGACTCACTTCTGTGAGTTCCAGTTTCTTCTGCTATCTCTGTACGGACAGAAACGCGACTCGTCAGTCATAAAAGCATTCTGATTGTTGTTCCCTTTTGGCGCTCGTTGAACCATATTCTCCTCAGTTGCTGGTGGCGTGCTGTTGTTGCAGGATTTCACAAAGGGTCATACGATGTGAGGCCAACTTCCCACAAACGGTTGCAAATCGTTTGTGTATTACCTCTTCCGTTGCCACTGTACGTTTAACAAAATTGAATTAACGGATTGTAACTTTATTGTAAGAAACAGTGGAGTAACCTGTTATCCGTTTCAGCGTGTTTGTTCAGAAAATGAACGTCTTCTGTTAAAAACAGACACACTTTTAAGTCTCTGTTCGTTTTATGTTTGTGGCATTTACGTTTGCATTGGACAACTGGCATTAATTAAACCAGGGCCTTCTGGTTAAACAAGACAAACATGAATATTCAATAATTTGACGAAGGTTAAAGTGGGGTCAGCTTGTTTTGTCATGAGTGTAAAACTTACTCATGGCAGTTATATTGAGTTTATGGATAGAAGTTGAATTTTGTTAATTTAGTTTAAAATTATACGTATGTGCACAAAATGGATAAATACTAAAAAGTTTCCTGTATCCAAAGAAGTGAAAAGATTAGTTACTCATTAGTTGGTAACGATAATAGTAACGAACAATACACTTATATAAGTATAAGCGATTCCTTTTCATTATGATGCTATAAATTGCAAAACAGGTAAGGTAATAATTTTTAATTTAATTGTATTTAAGTTCATTACACGAGAGAAAATGTAATAATTCTATAATCAAACTGAATTTAATAGTTTAAAGTTTGATATCTGATTACAACTGTTTAATCCTTTCATCACTGATTTTCTGTTGCTTCCAATATCTGCTACATTATGTTAATGTCCTTGGTTTCTAGGAACTATTTCCACTTCCCTCGACGAGTATAAAGAATCGTAAATATTTAAAAACTTTTAAATTCCCTAGTTTTCGTGGTCCGCTTGACCAATTAATATCTTTCAATTAATTAAGGTTTTTAGTTGAGATAAAAAAGTCAGGGTCACGAGCGGGATTCGAACCCACGACCTTCGGCAATATACGCACTTGAGCTATCGTGACTTCGATCCACTCGGACACTAACTTCCCATCGCAACCCCAGCTCGTGACACTGACTTTTTATCTCAACTAAAAACCTTAATTAATTGAAAAATATTTAAAACGTTGGAAATTACGAATCCTAGAGCCATATTCTAAAATAAAATCGCTATAAACTGATGGAACAGAACGTTCTTCTAGGAAAAGAATGATATCCAATGATACAAGTACTCACGACCCAACACGCGGAATGAATCTGTGCCGATGCCACAGCGCCATACGGGCGTTTGTCTGTTGTGCTGTGGTGCGTTGCGTCTCGATGTGCGTTGATACATTTTTTCCGTACGCTGCAAAATGGGCGCTACATCACTTCAAGTCCCACACGTTAGTCGTGCCCCAATATGCGTCTTACCCAAAAGTTCTAACGATTATCTGAGTAACTACTGAAAAAGAATAAAAAGAGTGGCCACTTTTTTGCCTCTCTGTGTAAATAAAATTTAAACCCTAAATGTAGGATAATTAGGTACATTATGTGGCATCAAGTAATATCGGACATCAAGTAATAAGCCTCCTAATTTTTCAGTGCAGAAAAAACAAAAAACGTCCTTTTGTTCACCGTTTAAATTAAAATTTAAGAGAATGGATATCACTTTCTCATTTTTGGCAACCTGCTCAATTATGTGAATTGTGGTAAGTGGCAAAAGTGGTTTATGGTTTGTCATAAAAAATTAATTGAACTAATTTTTAGTAGGTTTGCATAGTCTGTGTATAGTACACACCCGTATATACATTAATTATTGACTATATAATATACACATATTATGTGTGTGAGTGTGTGTATTTACTTATTTTTAGAGCTTAGTCAATTCACTGTTCTTTGACGTGATTTGAACTTCTAAGTCTGTCGACTTTACTGGTTAAAATTCATAATAACGCAAATTACCCCCAAGCTATGATATCCCCCTTTTCCACAAAATGCTCGTTGCATTTATTTCGTAGCAATTTAACCAGTCTTGAAGATAATGATATTTAACCCTTTCCTCAAAAAGCAGGTCATAATAAAAAGAAAATCCTTCTTGACACGAGAGTTATTGATCTTGAGCGAAGTTCTCCCTTAGAAACGGTTAACGGAGATTCTTAAAACGCCTGGCCCTGTCACTATGGCACTCAAGAACAGTCCAACGTTCTAAAGTTTCTCCAAAGAAGTTACACACGCTCATGAAAAGGAGAGACCTCTGACATTTTTCGAGTGATATACTGTTGATTATTTTTTATTAAAACTATAACTTTTTTAACCCAAAGAACTATATAAGAAGTTACAATATACCGCTCAGTTTACTGCTATCGTATTTTTTATACTTTTAGAACTACTGTATATGATATAATAAGATACTGTAATAATAAGAATACAATAACATAATAATAAGACAATTCAAGCAAAGAATAAAATGAAAAAATGAAACATAAACATACATCCATATTAATACGTGGTTAAGCAGTAAGTGCCACTTTAATGCAACCGTCTGACTGCTTAATTTGGTTCATAAATTATCAATTCAATGTTGTGCATTTTTATTGTGTCAACCATTTTGGAGATCGATGAGAATAGTTTCTTATTCAACTGCGAAAGGGTTCCAGGATTGATTTTCACAAACGTCTCGGTCTGTACGGTCCAACAACGCTGCCATATTTTACTTTATTTTTATTATACTTTAATTACTTGATTTGGTGAATTGCTAGAAGTAGGAAATAAATTTACGTTAATGGTTGTTCTTTAAGGTCATTCTTCCTCTCAAGGTTTTAATTATATTTCTTTCTTCCCCTTCAGCAGTAGGACATGTTAAAAAAAGCGACAATGTTTAACATTGAATTGTTTGCAATGGAATAGCCAATTTTCAACTTGACAACTATACATTTTATTTCTTGCTCTGTTATCAGCTAACAAATTTCCTTCGATGAATTAAACGGCTCCGTTCAGGCGAAAACTCGTTTCGAAAAGCGATAAAACTCGCCGAAGAACAAAGGTCGTCACAGCGGTTTTTCCAGTATGAATTATTACTTTAGCCCCGGTTGAAAGTTTGATAATCTATTTGTCCTCGGCTAACTGGACGGGGCATGGATCACACAAACGATTTTCTCCCTCTCGATTAGTAATGATAGAGAGACGGGGGAGGAAACACGTATGTCACGCACAATAGGATTGCGCTACGGACCCCTCCGTGCGGCTCAATGGAACTGCTTGAGATTAATTAATTCTAAATTCCAGGATGATCGCAGGTAATTTCGGGAGTCAATAGGCTTCATCGTTTCAATAATCAAAATGGGAATGGCTTTTCTTTCTTTGTTTAATAAAAGAAGGCAAGACAAGAAATATTCATCGTAATACACTACACAACATTGTATTCATTTGAATACACTATACACACTATACACTAACCACCAGTACACAGACAATTTCCATTTTAAGCTTAAATACCGCCCACCAAATATTCTGTTATAAATTGTAATTTGGTGTAAGCAAAGGCTTCAAGAAACATCAAAGCTGTTCCTTGATTCATGACCTAGAAGAGTAAAAATAAAGATTTTTTAAGATAAACGACTTTTATTTATGATTTCATTTTCTATGGAAGGTGTAAAAAGAAGCTTTCATCAATCAACTTTCAAGACAAATCTACATTTTCGAAACTATTAATCTTTTATGAATCATGAAACAAGTTAAAATTTACTGTACCAATCAAACTGTTATAGTTATTATTTATTTTTTTATCCTAACAGAGCACTATAATATTAGAATCTTACGTAATAAAGCGAACAGGGGCGTCGGTGGCAGCAACGGTTAGGCGTTGACACCGCGGTCATCAGTGTAAGGTAAAGGTCCCAGGTTCGAATCCAGCGGGCCTGCATTCGAACCCGAAATACCTACAAATGGGCTTGTTTTCAAAAACACCGTCACCCCGAGGGTTGATATAACCTCTGCTGCTGCGAACCCTCGTTACAAAAAATAAATAAATAAAAAATAAAGGGTACACTGTGGAGTCGAAAAAAGATAATGTAATCGCAATGTTATTTTTTTCATTATTACCAAAACAAGACTTGATATTGATAAAATCGTACCAAAATTGAGAAAAACCTGGAGGGATGGAGGGGAGAGATAGATAGATAGAGAGCGAGAGAGAGAGAGAGAGAGAGAGAGAGAGAGAGAGAGAGAGAGAGAGAGAGAGATTGAACAGTGAATGTATCAGACAGAAAGAGAGAATAGCCGATTTTTAGACCGATTTTGGATATGTCGTTTTGCTTCGCAGACAAATATTTTTAAAATATAAACTAGCCAAATTATGTAATTTGGTCGTTAGCGATCATTTTGGGCCGTCTATCCTCGCAGGGTTGCCTGTTACATGTTTCGGCATTTCACCATATTCTTTCGACCCGCACAAATTTGAGAATTTAGCACAAAAACACTATTTACGTTTAAAAAAATATCTATATAAAAATATATTATTAATGTACATATTATTAAAAATATATGTAGTTGGTGTCCGAGTGGATCTAAGTCACGATATCGATAGCTCAAGTGGTTATTGAGCCGAAGGTCATGGGTTCGAATCCCGCTCGTGACACTAACTTTTTCATTTCAACCAAAACCTTACACAAAAAGATTAAGTAATTGAAAGAAGTAATTTGATCACTAGGCCATTAAATATAATGGATTAAAAAAATATGATGATCGTACACATCTCAACACTCTCTCACCTGTACGTAATATTATTATTTTGTACTTTTTTTACGTTTGTGTTTTATTGTTAAGGAAGTGTTAGATGCATTGAATTTAAATCCAATCAAATATTGTAGATACAATTTAAAAAGTTGTTTTTCTGTTCTTCAGGTACGTGATAACGACCTTGTGCGGCGACGCATGCTACTGTCCTGACATGGTGGTCACCGTGCTCTTTTGGATCGGTTATTTCAACTCGGCCCTCAACCCGCTCATCTACGCCTACTTCAACCGGGACTTCAGAGAGGCGTTCAAGAACACGTTGCAGTGCGCCTTCCCCTGCTGCTTCACCTGCTGCCCCAAGCAAGACTCGCCCGTGCAGTATGTCTAGAACAAGCACACCCCATCACCTTTGTGTTGCCTCCCTTTGCACTTAGAGGTACGTCAGAGCGGGTTGCATGGCACCGATACATGGAGAGAAGGACAAATTATCGGGGTTCGTTATTCAGACATCCGACCAAATTATATAATGAAAAAAAATCTCAACCGAACTATTTAATCTGCAATGGTTTTAATCAAAACCGTGGTAATTGTCCCTTTATTTTCACTCTACCATCTACCAACAAAAGCATATTAACCAATAACTGCTATAAGCTAAACAAATATTTTAGATGATATCGCTAAAGTCCGTTCTATTTTCTTTTACTTTTTAATCTTTTAATCCATTGATTGAATTTTCATTTTCCTAAAACAGAATTTTTTAAAATCAAACAATTGAAATTATTATTTTATTCTACTCATTTCTATTCAGCTGTTTTGATTCTGTTTTCTTAAATTTTGAAATTTATTAATGATTATAATAAAACATAGATTGATAGCGTATCGTACATTATCTACCGTCTTTGCTAATTACGTATGATTTTGACGATATTAGCGTATGTTGCCACAACGAATCAAAAGAAGTAGTGTGAGAGAAATATGTGGACATCCAATGACAAGATTGCGAAATACCATTCTATTAAAATATGTACTCAATATACATTTTAACTAGTCTAGTTATTTTGGTATTTATTGTTTAAACCTGTCGTGGTTTTGTTACTACTTTTTAATTATTAATACGGCAGATACTTGTTATGATCTTATCGAAATTATTCTTTTCCTGACTTCATATTTTCCTAACGGACGAAGCTGTTTTGCACGACCCTAATTCTTTCGACCAAGCATGGTTTTGAGCTGGAGAACACATAGATATTTTCATTGTATTATCTCTAGCAAATTCCGGTCGAAGAATCGCATCATGCATGGTTTTAGACCGGTGACAGCAAGGCGTCAAACGATAAAATTATTATCGACAAAACATAAATATTCCCGGTAATTTTTATCCTTTGGCTTCCGCGAGACATTTAGCCCATAAGTCGTATGTATGTATGCATGAAAACATTCATTGGACGCAAAATGTATGCCGAGATTCCCCGCATAAATTGTGAAAAAGAATTGTAATTTAAGGATAGTTGTATAAAACGAAAAATTAAATAGTTTATAATTGGTTTTGTTTTCGAATATAAGACATTGTTATATATTTCCTTTTTTCTGTTACCATAAGCACAATTGTATTTACCCATGGCAAGACCTTTCGTAACCCAAATTCAGCATCGTGTGATTTTAGAATGCATTTGTCTTGTGATCGTCCAATCCATCATTAGTTTGTTAACGAAGTTCACTCATTAAAGCTTTTTGTGTTTTAGGTTTAATTAGGAAAGAGAAGAGATGACTGTATAACAGGGTTTAGTGAGCACTGAGGCACGCAATTGTGCTGTCGTTATCCAAGCACACATCAGAGCACAAAACCGGCCTGGTGTTATCTATAAAACGCGGCGGATTTTATGTGATAAGACGGTTAGGCGATGATTATTGGATTGTTACAAATAAAATTAGAATGAAAAATCTTTTACCAAAAAAAGCAATAAATTGTTTTTAGATACTTCATATTATTGTATAATTTGTATTGTTACAAATCCTCTCAAGATTTTGCTGTTTATGTAATGTACAAAATCAACGTTTACCTCGTGTACTTGGGTATATTTTTTTAGAAACCGATAAAAAAAATCTTTAAAAATTTGTTGAGGCATGAGATGTTATATATATAATGTAAATAAATGGATATTTTAACAATATAGATAGATTGAGTGTTAAATGTAAGTTTAGAGTGTAAACTAAAGACTGCTTAAAATGGTGCAGTTTTCGGACAAAGGAACGACCTTAAACATAATTAGTTATTTTTACTATATACCGTTGATATAAATATCATGCTTTGCAAAAAGCTCGTCCTTTGTCCGAAAGTCGTTACGGGTATTTATAATAATTGTTGTTTCGCTGTATAAAGAATGTATATAAAAAATATATATCTATGATGTTTTGAACATTTTTTGTGATGAATGGCAACCTTCTACAATGACAATTTAAGTTAAGTAAACGTTTATCAGTTGTTTTATTGTAAATAGTTAATGGCAAATGACCGCGGTGAGTCCGCGGTAATTTGTCTGGACAAAGCTAATTCTAAAAATTATTAAAAACATGTTAAAAGCAAGGCAAAGGTGAGGATTAATTAAAAATGAAATAATAAAACTGTTAGGGGTATACCTTCCTATTCATATCACAGCCTCTCGCTCTTATGAATGTGTATTGAATGGACAATGTGATTAACTATGATTTATGTATGGACATGACGCTGTGTTTACTTTGTATAGTGGAACTGCCCTTAATTTGGTATAAATCAAATTAAAAAAATAACGGCTTTGATATTTATACGGGATTAAGAACGAAGGACGTTAATTTTAGAGTAGGAACTTTCAACTTTTGACAATTTTAATAAAATCGTCGTTTATAAAATATAAAATAATATGAATTTCAAAATATACCCCGCTTTCGAAAACGAAATGCCAAGAATTCTCAAATTTACAAATTAGGATTAACAAGAACTAAAAATTCGCCGAACTTAAAAACTAACTAGATTACAAACTATTTAATGAGCAATATATATTTCAATCTTACAAATCAATAACATCAACTTAAAATTAATTATTTATATTTAGTATATTTAATTAAAACTTACGAATTTCCTGAAAGAGTAGGGTATACTGTTTTAATGTTTAAACTATTTCCACTCATTGCAAGTAAAAACGTAAGTAATAATAAATTATGCTTTCATAACATTTAAGCAATTGTCCATGGTGGTTGATTGTACTTTTATTTATATACACACTCATTATCACTAGAATGTGCTTTACAGAAAATTATAAGCTGAAACTCTATCTTTAATGTTGGTTACATTGTCAGCACATTGTTAAATAATTCAACGGACTTTAATGAAAACAACGTTCTGTAATATTTATTGTTTCTGAGTTGATAATGGATGTTGGTCTGCGAGTCGGTGAACTCATGCTGAACCGAAAAATGTTCACTATTGGATCCGTCTTAACACCAACGTTTCGGCATTGCGCCATCTTCAGTGAGTATTTACCATTCTGTCGTTTGTCCCTAGGGGCGTTTGCGTCTAGTGGGCGTGGTCATGATGTTCCTTGGTCGGTCGTGTTTTTGGTTATTATTTGCGCGGTTTTTTTTGGGGGGGGGATGTTGTTTTCTTGTGAAGATTAGTGTTTTTTATTACGTAATGTTCTTAGTGGTGGGAAAGTGTGTGAATGTAAGTATGTTGTTTATAAGTTTTTCTATTTAAGTGTTATTTGTTTGTATTTCTATAGGTTCTTCAGTACGTTGATTTTCCTGCCCTTTTTGGGCGTCGTGTATTAAGACATGCTTGTTTCTATTCTGTTTGGTACGTGATTGTGATGTATTAAGAGTGGCGGAATTTGATTTACCATCGATGTCTTTGAAGGATCTAAGATGTTCTGTAAATCGACTCTTAATTTATTTCCATTCTGTACAATGTATGTCTCCGAATTGATACGTGATGCTACAAACACCCGTTAATGTCTAGCGGGTTAGTTGTATTTATGTTTCTTTTTAGTAGTTTACCTGAGTCATAGCTGGTTCTTAATGCTGTTTTTAGCACGACTATGTTGAACAAGTTCGTTAGTCTGTTGGTGTCTTTTCCTCCGTATGCGAATACTGTCCATTAGTTGATTTTTTGTGGGTATGTATGTTTTTTTAGTAGTTTCTTGATGGTGCTTGTTTTGTATTCGTTTTTAATTACTAAATTCGTTATTGTTTGTAGTTCTTTGTTGTAATTTTCATTGTTACGTGGGATTGCTTATAGTCTGTTGATCATGTGTCATAATGCGGCAATTGTGCTGGTGTGGGTGATTGGATTGCACGTTTATGATGTTGTTGGTTGCAGTGGGTTTTCTGTATATTTGGAATTCGATTTTAGTTGGTTCTCTTGAGTGTAAAGTCCAAGAAGTTGACGCAATTTTTGTTTTCAGTTTCTACGGTGAATAATGTTTCTATGCATCGCGATTGGATCTCTAAGTACGTTTTCTGAAGAGTTGTCTGTTATATAATATGTCATTGACGTATTAAAATAGATGGAATGTTTGGTTTTCAGCCATTATTTTTGGGAAATGGTTCTCTTCAAGGTTTTGGAGAAACACCCCTGCAAGAATGGCCAACATTGTTCCTTCAACCCTAGACCGTTATTTAGTAGTTTGGTGTAGTTTGGGTTAATGGTTATTTTTGTAATTTGTGCTAGTTATGTAGCCTATTCGTTTTCGCAAATTTTGTGAAGTGTGGTTGCCAGTATGTCGATAGTATCTTTGAGATGGAAGGATGTAGGTTTGTTATGTCAAAGCAGACTACATTGGCAGATGGGGGATTGTTAAGTTGTTGAGTTTTCTATCAGGTCTATTAACGCAGAAAGCGTTTTTTAATTTTAAATTGAATTTTGGTATACCTTCAATAAACTTTGATTGTTTGATTGCAGGGGCTGGCCTATAGATGGCTATTGGGAATATTAGGTTTTTGTATTTTTTGGAGTGAAGTAATGTTTAGATGTGATAGTTCCTCAAGGTTAATTGATTAACTGAGGGGACAGTTGTTTATTGTTTTTTTAATAAAAATCGTCGATGTAATAGGAATTATATTATGAAGCATATTTAAACGTTTAAATATGGATATACGCTTATTATAAAATACACACGGGTAAGTATGACTATATTCTACACAAAAAATGCTATAAAATTGCTTGACAATTGAATAAAATGTATTTGATCATATGTAACCATGGTTCATATAGTTTCGGTAAAATTCAGAAGATAACATTATTATATTTAAATTTTCCGACGGTAAAATGTGAAAGTCCTTAATTCACTCACTCTGACAGCACAATAATTTTAAAAAATTTCAAAAAGTGTATACTCATAAAAAAAATTAACGATAATATTCTCCTTGTTGAAATTTACATAAATTTTTAAATACCAAAGTTGTTAAATTACTTGATATCCGTCTGATCCAAGAGTAACTTACTCAACCATGTTTGGCAACTATTCGGCATCTTCTACCCTAAGATTTAATCAGCGGGGACTGAACTTTCTTAGTTGTCTTCAACAAGTTCCTTCTTTAAATTTACGTCCTTTTTCAATTTTGGTTTTTAATTAAGTAACTTAAGCTTAGGAATCAATAAGTGATGCTTCCGAATCTTCCATTATAGTAAAAGATTGTTATTAAAGTGAAAATTATCAAAGTATATAGTTAAAAATTAAAACAGCGTCTAAAAGAATTTTTCAAGGTGAGTCCTAAATGTGTGTTTTATGACCTCTGAGAATGGGATTTTGTTTGTTGTACATAAAAAAAGAATGTTGTGCCCCTAAAAAACCGTTCGAGACAATCGCATACTGTAAACGTAGGCTTTTTTATTTTCATATGTGATCCTCATTCGTACTCGGAAAAAGGTTATAAATTTAGTTTCTTTTATACAACACATTGTTAGTCATGCAATCCAAAAAAGACACAATTATAAAGCATATATTTTGAACAATAAGTATTACCAATATGTATACATATTGTGTATGCATAAATGTTTGTAATTAGTTTTCCTTTCGTTCTATTCATCGGATGATTATTTATGAATGTCTTTCATAATTGTACAAACACGAAAAAAAAACGGCAAAATGCAATAAAAAATAATGTATCTATGTTAGACACTAGGAAAAACAAATAAAACCATTAAATACCTTATTATTTGGGTACTTTTTTAATCCCGTTCACATTTTCCCATATTTCCAAATATTCAGCGCCAAATTTACAATGCCCAGCGAAGACATCTATACAAACAGGACGACTGTAAGTTTACTATGACCTCGTGCTTGGGTTTGTTTATGAAATTTAATCAAGCGTAAAACGGTATGTTGGCACTCTGTAAAAATAAGTTAACTTAAGAATTTGTTTGAAAATCATGGTTATATAATCAAAATCTAATATTATTAATTATTTACTTATCTTTTTAGGTACATATTGTCATATATTTACTCACTTAATTATCACAATTTTTTTCAAAATGAAAAACTTTCGGCTAAATACGCCGAAGATCAACCACTTGAGCTACCGTGACTTCGATCGCCCAATGGTCAATAACGGTAGTTCAAGTGGTAAAGCAGCGGTGTATTTAGCCGAAAGACGTGGGTTCGAATCCCACCAGTGACACAAATTTTTCATTTCGAAAACATTGTGAATAATTAATTGAGTAAATATATAATTAAGAATAAGTTGATAAAATTAATACAAAAAGTTAGTATTTACTGTCATAATTCAATGATATAGGGTCTTTAATTAAGAAAGTGAGGTAAGGTAGATAGCTACAGACATTACCAGTTGAGTACACCCACAATGCACAAAAACAAGTACGAGAGTAATAAATATTCGTCATTTAGATGAATATACAAAAAAGAGGATAGCTATGTTATTTCAGGTAAAGTCAACGTGCATAGTGGTTTTTCTTATAATACTGATGAGCTCCTGAAACTACTTGAAATAATTTATTTTGCATAGTATGTAATTTTGTACATTGCACATACGAAAAATCATTTAGTGATAGACTAGCATAACTAACATTTTAATGCCTACTACGCGAGAAAGACAGGAAAGAGAAGGAATACACGCGGAGGGCCGGCGATGACCTCAGCTGTTTGTCGGCCCATAAACCTTCCACTTTATATATATATATATAATGCCTACGTTTGCTCTTAATAACGCGCATTACCTCCCCTGGCCTCGCATAGGGCCTTAAAGCCGGGAACACACTCGATGCAGCGCCATAAGACGCTACCCGGTCTTACACGACGCCTTGCCACGTTTTGGTAGGGTCTGCCCATCTACGCGACGTCAAGCGCACGCCACGTGCAGTCACCCAGCGTGTCACAAATCAGTATCACAATCGCAACGCCTTGTTTGTTCTTAATGCATTATTTTGAGTAAACCATGTAATAAATTATTTAAATTTAATTGTACGACCCGACAAAAATCTGGACAGTGGGGATCTCAGAGAGTAGAGTAGATTAGCGTGGCATAGCAACGGGCAGATGTGCAAGGAGGTAATGTTTCTTATGTAACCTGTATGTAAGGTATGTAACCTTATGGAAAATCTGAGTTTGGATTTGCGTCGGGTAGCGTCCTAGGTTCTCCTATTTCTCCTAGGTAAATAAGAGACAGGATTTCGTCTTGTGAAACCGAATCGCTCGGTCGAGCAAATCCATGCATTCCCAAGAAGTTGTACTTAACAAATGGAATGAATGGGACCACAGCTTTCAGAAAAATTTTCTCAATGTATCTTAGTGCAGACAAAGTTCCATTCTGTATGATTATCAGTTCGGTACGGGCATGGATGTTGATTCCACCCAATAACTGACTGTCTTTGAAAAGTTTGTGGCTCACGAATGCCACATGAAGCAAAGCGTTCACCACATCTTCTCAACACAAGGTCCCGGTCATCTGATGGCCACAAACCAAACCGACACTCATCTGTAAAAAGAATACCCCCCCCCATTGTTTAAGCGTCCAAGCGAGATGCTGATTTGCGAATAGTTGCCTTTCTGTGCCTCTCCGGTGTAGAACTTGTTGCGGGACGTCTAGAGACGACCATTCTCACGATGCCATTTGATGACTGTTTTAGAGCTCACCATTACATGACGGACGTATTAGAGTTGACTGCTTATCAAGGAAGCCATTAAATGATGGTTCCGTAGTATGGTAGGAGCAATGAAATGAACGTCTGTACCCGTCGTACATCGTACCTCTAAAAGTAGAAGTAATTTGTTGAACTTTATACATTATAGTTTTTACAATTAAATTTACAAAATACAATGGATAAAAGTCCGTCTGCCAGATTGGTGGGTTTTCATCAAATAATTGTAATTCGCGTTAAGGGTTCCTCTGATTTCCTCTCCAGTTCCTCCATTGTTGGTACCAATATATTTTTTCATCAATATTTTGATTTGCAAGAAACTGTCGACAACTATCTTCTCATCGATGTAGATTTTCAGTGGCCTAACCTAAACCGGTATAGACCATCATGGATGGACTGAGAACTTGGGCTATGTTATTGGCGCTACGTCCTTCGTTGGCCAAAGGATGCCCGGGCGAGATCTTGATTTAAAATCATGGTTTTAAGAAATCAAAAATTACTCACACTTATCGTTTCATCAAACAATACAATTTAAAAAAATAATTAACTCACTCGACAAAATAGCTCTAAAAAGGATGAAATTAAACTAATGTTCTTTTTTTTAATGTAAAAAGTGTAAGAGGATTAATACCACTCTATAAAGGTAAACAAGTTATTAAAGTTGCGTTTACGTTTTAAGTCAAATATTAATCATTATACCTACTTATTGTCAGTGAGTGTAGAATTATAGGTGTATAGTTAGAGTTATTATTATTTATTTTAATATTATGAAAAATAAATAAATAAATACAAGAGTACAATTGACCTTTTTTCGTATAATTAAAAAGTATAAGCCAGTATAATTTAATGTAATTAATCTAAATTGTGAAGAAGATTGTTTTAAGTCTATTAATTTGTCTACTTCATAGACCTTACTTTTTCCACTTAAATTAGTGTTTAATCGTATCAATAGATAACATTCTTAATTTAGTACGTAATACCTTATTTTACTCCTAGTATTACGGAGTGATTTTCATTTTTTTAAAGGAATTTTATATATAAAAAAAGAAGACAGAAAACCAAGTTACCCTTGATGTTTATTCTTTTCGGCTCACATTGAGTCAAAAGGTCGCGTGACTTCTAAAAATACCCCGCGTATAATTTTCATCGGATGCAGGAAATTTATCTGAGAAGCTCTATAACTTTTTCTGGTGTCAGTTGAGTGATGTGTCCTGATTTCAGGTTACCAGCACTATTTGCTGTAAACAAAAACGTTTCTACACTATTTATTGTTGTTCATCCGATTGGCATTGACCTAATACTATTTACTGGTATGTTATTTTTGTAATCAGAGTAGAATAAATGAAAAAATACATAAAATATTATGTCAAAAGAAATGACAAAAAAATATTAAAACAATGTTTTTAACGTATATCCTGTTACATATGGCCACATAAAATTTTAACGTAATTTATTTTAATTAAAGTTTGTCTCTATTTCCGGTCGAATTGATAATAATTTCATGCACTAGTTTTTTAAAAGGCTTGGGATTTTTAATTAAACTCTTTGTGAATTATTCAACTTTATTTGACATGTTGGTTTTTTAATAATTTATAACGTTGTTCACACAATTAATTAATAATTATTCCGAAATCTGTAGGTTTCAGAAAAACATTTTCTTTATCGTGCCAACGTTTCGATCTTTATTGAGATCATCTTCAGGGCTCAAAGTGTTTGTCTTCTGTGTAATTGTGCCATTCGTGTTGAAAGTGCGCAAGAGTACACACAAGACTAACACTTTGAGCCCTGAAGATGATCTCAATAAAGATCGAAACGTTGGCACGATAAAGAAAATATTTTTCTGAAATCTACATCACACCAGACCGCATCTCACGATTTCGGAATAATTATCGATTAACGATCACTAATAATCACCACACAATTAATTAATCTTTATGTAAGGTATTGGTTGAAATGAAACAACTAGTGCCACGAGGGGATTCGAACCCACGACCTTCGGCTAAATACGCCGCTGCGCTACCACTTGAGCTATCTTGACTTCGATCCACTCGGAAACAGACCTCCCATCCCAACCTACCTTTCGAATTTTCCTTCCTTTTTGCCATTTTTTCAAATGTGTCATCAGGATTCGACCCTCGGCGACAAATGAAATGGCTATGGAGAGTTTTAGTGAAGATATACTTCGTTTTACTTATTAAATCCATTATATTTCGTGGTCCGATTGACCAAATAACTTCTTTCAAGTAATCTTTATGTATGGTATTGGTTGAAATGAAAAAGCTAGTGTCACGAGCGGGATTCGAAATCTGGGGTTGTTTACATTGTCTAATCTAAAACGTTTTACATTTTCCTTAAATATATCAAATTCAAATGAGCATGCGCTGTATCAGGTGGTTTAAAAGTTACCAAATGCCGAAACCACCAGCTTTGAAATGTCACAGTTGGCTCTTTAGACGTCAATCATGCCTGAATAATTGATAAACTGTGCTACAAATCGTACGCTATCATTTGCGAATTCAAATGCCACCGTAAACCGCTATACAAGACAATTTGGTGTCGTCTGAACAAAATTAGGCCACTATTAATTGTCATACACCGAGGAAAAATGGAAATACAGGTAATTTGGTGGAAAAGCCAAAGATGAGCGTGTAAAAATAATTTCCAACAAAAAATAGGTTCTCTTGCCATATGAAAATAAAAGAAGAAGAAGACGTACTGTAACGCATAATAAAGAAATCATGTTTACTTTAAGTTTTACTTAACTTTCCTTTAAAGTTTACTTAACTTTCCTTTAAAGTTTAAAAATCCCGACAACGTTTTTCATCGAAAAAACTTCTAAAGGCTAGAATTAAGATGTATGCCGACTCGCGTTTTGTTGCAACTGAAAAGAAGAAAGATTTTCTGTGAAAGTAAGCAAAACAGTCAACAAGTCCATCTACCACTTTTTTTAGAAGCTCTCCTACTCAAAAGTCTTACGTTACTTCATACTTCATAACTTTTGAAAATCTTGCATAGGGTACGTCAAAAGAATTATTAATTACACAATCTGACTCTTATTCACTCG